TACTTGGTTTGAAGTCCAAATACCAATTGAGTCCTTATTCCAACTGATGCCTCCTAGTCCTGATCTTTACCAGCTGCATTTCTATCAACACTCTGATCCTCTGAGCTCTGATCAGAATCTCCTAGCAAGGTTGGCTTGCAGCATGCTAGGGTTGTTTCTCTAGCAAGTATCTTCAAACTTTCCCAAATGTCTCTCACAAACCAGTTTCAAGGGCTTTTTTAAATTTATTTTTTATTTTTTGTGGTTTTACTGAAGCACAAATAAGCATGCACACAGGCTGTCTATCGTTTTCTTCACTGCACAGCCTGGCATTGGAATTGGTGACTTGGATGGCTAGCTAGGCTGCTTTTTCCACAATGGCCTTGTGGTTCTTAGAGGAGATGTTGTGAGTAATCTCTGAGCAGTAAGACTTGTTGCACATCGGCAGCACCTCTAGCTCCTTAACACTGTGCAACAGAACCTTCTGGAAGCCACTGGACAGTGTGTACTTTGTCTTTCTGTTGCTTCCATAACCTATGTTGGGCATCAAGATCTGGCCCTTGAACCTCCTCCGTACCCTGTTGTTGGTGTCTCTGGGTTTTCACCAGTTGCGCTTAATTTTGTTATACTGGTCTGACTTTTGCCAGATGAACTTTTTCATCCTCTTTTTGATAATCTTGGGCATCACAAGGGGTCTGAGGGCCACCATGGTGCCACGAGGGAGATGTCTGCCCTCAAAGGCTTTTGAATCATATGGTCAGGTATAGTTCTAGAAGTAACTCTACTTCTTTAGTGTCAAAATCTGTCTTGGTTAGTCCTCTTGTTACTGACACAAATTTTTGACACCCACAGTTTAAGGGAGGAGATTCTTTTGGCTCAAGTTTCAGTGCATAGGCAGCTGACTGTAAGACAGGATAACATGCCAGAAGGTCATGGTGTAGGAATAGCTGCTCACAGCAGACAGAAAGTGGAAAGAAAAAGGAGGAGCATGGGAAGAAGATACAGTATAACCTTCCAAACTACCCCCCCATGATCCACATCTTTTGATGAGACCTCATTTCCCAACATGTCAACTGTAAGCCCCCATAATCTAGTCACTTTGCAGAATGCCCCATACCCTCACCAATGAGAAGCTTCCTAGGGACATCTAGATGTAAACTATAACAAAGTGGTTTCCTCAGCCTTCTTTACAGGTGGCCAGTACAAACCCTGTGGGCTCTGTTGACATCTCCTGAGATCCCTTTTCTAAGCTGACAAACTAGCACCACCCCTGACCTCTGTGATTTATGTTGGTTAACAACACCTTCTAACTTTTTTTTTGGAGAATTGCACTAAGACAAATTTGAATGGATTTTCCTGAAAAGTGACATTAGCTATACACCTGAGGTAGCAAGAAAATCCTTCACTGAAGTGAAGTTCACAAAGGCATTGATACTTGCATTAATGTTACAGGGAAAGAGTGACATTCTGTGTTATAATCATACCTCAGAACTTTCCAAAATATACTGTTCACATGAGAGCTAGCATCCTGGTTGAGAATCTTATTTATGGCTGTCCTCTGTTGACTGGGCCTGGTGACAGGAATTATGCTTTCTGAAAAGAATAGAGTTAATAGGGGCTCAACATACATAAGGTAGGTGATCACATTTGACCTAAAGAAGGCAATGATACTAACTACCAAAAAGGGCAGATGGAAAGGCTGCTAAAGTTATCTCTATAGTGGTCTCCACAGACTCACAGGGGTCTGAGGAGATGACTAATAAAAGATGTTCTTAGGGAAATCTTGTTGCCCAGACTAGGGAATTCCTCATTGCCTAGGAATTGCTTAATATCAAAATAAGTAAAGAGAGGCTGAATACAAAGCTGTGGTCAACCTCTCACATGGAAAGCAGTGTTCTCTGCCCAATGTAATAATTAAGCAGTTTATACATTTGTAAACACCCAAGCATATTAAGTAAAGGAAAGAGTGGATTCATAAGATGAAGGTTCTTGCAATATGGGCTCAATGATGCACAATACTGATTTCTCCAGTGATACTACACTGGGACAGGGGATATACAAATCTTGCAGGTGCTGGAAATGTAGAGTCTACACTGACACTGGTGCTTTGGTGCCAGCTCTGTCATGGCCTCCATTTCTCATGCCAGAGGCCTCTGGTCAGTACACTAAGCTGTGGCCCAGTGGGGAAATAAGAAGCCCAGATGAGCCTAGGGCTGCTGTTTTCCAGCACAATAATGTTGAAAGATGACTTCTTTTGATTTCATTCCTGTTATGTTGTTTTTTTGTTCGGGGGTTTTAAATTTGATCTATAAAATATGATTGATGATTTCTTCCTGGCCCATCTCACAGAATTTTTCAAACCATAAAATGAGATAATATTTTATAATTGTCAAGTGCAATGCAAATGGAACTTGTTACCAGCACCTCATATAGTTAATTGTACTTTAAATATAACTGAAATTTATTTTCCTTGTTGTTGTATTTTACAAGGCCATCTAATATAACTTAGTGTATGAGTAGGAAAAATATGGGAAAGTAAAACCTTTTGCATTATTCTATCAAACATTTCTACTCAAATCTCATAGCAGTGCTTGAATGCACTTTAAAAAAAGATCTTTGCAAGTGTTGATTGGATCCTGTAGTGTATGTGTTGGTGAAGTTTTTTTTTAACATGTCCTGTTGGAAATGTAAAGTGTGTGTAACATTTTGACTTGTAATTTATACTTTAGGTAATTACATGCTAAAAGAAGCCAATATAAAGATGTTAATTTCAGCATTATTTTAATAACAGAAAGTATGAAAATATCCCAATCTTCAACAAAATAATTTGGTTACATGTTATGTTAAATTGACTATAGTGAAAGATGCTGAGGTGATAAAATGCTGTGAAAGATTTGTATTTATTGACCTGGAAAAATATCCTCAGATATGAAAAGTGGAAATCACAAATATCAGTGAAAGTAGTGACTTTTCATTTTTTATTAATTTTAATGTAAATGAATTTACAATAAGACAGTTTCAAAACAGGTTAAGAGGACAGTTACAATAATTAATATATTCATATTGTCTTCATAATAGTTATTCAGATTACAAGATGCAAGCATGATATCTTGTCTAAACACTATTATTACAAATCTTTCTTCTTGAACTAAGACAAAGTACCTGTATATCTATCCTAATTCATATATACATATATATTTATTTATTTTTTTACTACAAATGGTCCATCATGTATATCTCCCTTTTTTGTTTTGTTTTGTCAGAGATGGGTGTTCCATTGCCATTCAAATATTGTAGCTGGGCATGGTGGCACCTGCCTCTAGTCCCAGCTACTTGGGAGGCTGAGTTGGGAGGATCCCTTGAGTCCAGGAGTTCTGGGCTGCAGTGTGCTATGCTGATCAGGTGTCCGCACTAAGTACGGCATCAATATGGTGACCGCCCAGGAGCAGGGGACCACCAGGTTGCCTAAGGAGGGGTGAACTGGCCCAGGTCAGAAATATTGTAGGTGCTTTGAATTCAGCAGAATAAGCCAATATAGTCCAATAGTCCATAATAATAGTGGATTATCAGCAGAGATGGCAATGTCAGAAGTTGTTGACTTGAGCCTTTTACAGCTCAGCATATTAATATGGCTTTACTTTTGATACCTCATGGTTATATTTTTTTGTGGGTGGTTAAGACCAAGTTAAACAACACCTATATAACTAAAAATGTAACTTTTGTATCTGACAAGGTCAGTCAAATTCCCTCAGGATTTCCCTGAAGCTATGTACAGCAGTTTGTAGATCTTTTGACAGTGTCAGCCATCTGGATGAGTCATGGCCATTTCTTGAACAGTTTGCTTTCTGTGAAAGCCTGAAAGAATGTTTTCTCTCTAGGTGACTCTCCTTAGGCACACTCTACATCATGCAGATCACTTTCCTCTGTGGCCCCATAATCTCCCTGATCAGAAAATTTAAATACCACTGAGTTACACGATGTTGCAGTACAGGTTCTCTTATGTCCTGAGTCTTCACTTACCTTGAATGGCTAGGGCCAAAAGGTTGTCTATCCTTGTAACTCTTTTTTTTCCTCTAATTTTTGGTCTGCATAGTTAAGGTGTTAACCATTCAGAAGAGAAGCTTAATGATATTATTATTCTATAACAGATGCAGTTGAGCTCACCATCACTGTCTGAATATCAAATGCCTTAGACATAACATGGAACTACCATTTTCCAACAGCCGTGGACATTCTAAACTTTAAATTCCTATAGAATGTAAAAAAATGCATATTTTTACACAGAAATTTAGAAATCTAACCATATGCAACATTGTAGCAGAACAATCCTATGACATTTTTCTTGTCTCTTGTTTTCTTTTATTACCTTTTTAAAAATAACCAAATATTTACTTGAGAGAGAGCATAGCAATAATTGATACAACATGAGAAGCAGTGCATATTTAGAAGACCAGAATGATAAGTATTCCAAGCATGATTTTAATATGGCACCTTTCTATCCTCAGTGTAGTTGGTTAGTGACTTTTCATTTATATCATAAAAGTATTTACCTTAAAAAAGTTCACTAACATGTTCACAATGAAATCTGAATGTGTAACATTTCAGATTGCTTTTACTTTTTACTTTTTATATGGTTAAGTTTTGCACAGTTAATTTTTGTTTTTAAATAATAAAAACAAATATTTATTTATTTATTTATTTTTGTATGGAACTGGGGATTGAACTCAGGCTCTTGTGCTTGCCAGGGAAGCATTTATTCCACTGAGCCATCTCCCTAGCCCAAGAACAAATTTTAACATTTTTATTATTTATTTATTTTTATGTCTTTTATTGTGCTTTTCCTGTTTTTTCTTCACCATTTTGTAGTCCTCATCAGAAAGAAATTATATTTATTTTATTGAAAAGTTTAGTTGGAGCACCCCCCCAAAAAAAAATCCTTTTAAAAAGTTTACTTGGAGAGAATTTTAAAAAGGCAAATTTTCACCATATGTGTAGGTTCAAAATTTTATTTTATTTTTTTATGCAAGAGGTTCTTTTATTATACAGGTACTTTAGAGACCCAAACTCTTTTCTTCCATCCCACAGGAACCACAGCTTGGGGAAGGGAATGAGATCATTGGATTAGTCACCAGCACTGTTATCACCATTGCCAGAAAGGTCCAGGATAGACATCATGGAATCAGAAAGCTTGCTGGCAATTTTGTCTGTACGCTTCTGCATCTTCTTCTTATTCTTCAGGGCAGATGCCAGAACCTGGCCCTGTTGCAGGGGGTCTGTCTCTATAATTCTCTGCAGAACTGGGCGACGGTCCACTGAACTGACCTCTACCACGTTATTGTTCTTGGTATGGTGGTGGTCGACATTGCGTTTAGCCCATCCCACTTGATAATAGTTTGGATTGGCGTGACACCCAGCAAGATCTCCACTCTGATATATGGTAGTTATATTTTCAGTGGCATCTGGTATTTTCATCACTGGAGAATGCAGCCTCTTGATCTCCATTTCAAGTGGGTCTATGTCACCCAAAAGCTCGTCAGATTCTCCTGTGGCCAAGCATTCCATGGTGTCTTCATTGGCCTGCTCAATATCCTCAATGTCAAAGATCTCAGTCATCTCCTTAACAATCTCAGCACTGATATGAGTAGGCAGAGTGTGCGTGGGTGGTGGTAGTATATAGAAGCTGATCTTCCCACTCACCCAGTCACTCAGGACAGCTTTGGCAGCCTGCTCTTGACTATATAAGCCTCCCTTTTTCTTCTTTCCTAAGCGGTGGGCCACTGCAGTGAGAAAGTGCTCAGTAGTCTGGAACCCAGATACACCATAATAGTTGGAAATCTCCTCCAGACTGCAGTGCTTCAAGATAGTCTCCACTGGAGTCTCAGGGTCTGCCAGCTTCTGCACATCGATGCAATTGCGCAGGATGGCATCCACCTCTGAGTTGGGTCCTGGGACAATGCCCAGGGCATCCAGCAGCCTGATAAACTTGTCCAGGTAGACCTCCTGCATGTGTTTAGTTACCCCAGGAACAGCTCCCACACTGCATGCACGGCTGCGCTTCAGGCTATTGATCAGGCTACTCTTCCCAACATTGGGAAGTCCCACAACACCCACACGAATGTGGGTACGCACTTCACCCAAGCGGCAATAGTTCCCCAGAACCCTCATGAGGTTTTCAGCTCCAAAGCAGGTTTTGCTTTTCAGCAGTGACTCAGAGGCTTGCTCCACTGGCACACTGCACCGATTCAAGTTCTTGACCTGATGCTGGGTGCTGGCTTTGAAAGCCACTGTTGGCAGCTCATTGCAAAGGTAATCTAGCCATTTCGCCACAACCTCTTTGGGAACCAGGTCAATTTTGTTCAAAACAAGGACCAGCTTCTTGTTGCCTTCTGCCTGAAAAACAGCCTCTTCCATTTGGAAACAGCGACAGCCCAATGGGTCTCTGGCATCCAGGACTTCCAGAATCACATCAGAGTATTCCACCACCTTGCGGAACTCCCTGTAAAAAGCCCTTCTTGAGGCCTTATCATCCAACTGAGGAAACGTATTTAATTCCTGCAAAACTTCCTCCTTGCGTTCAAACTCCTCCTGACGTCTCAGGACATCCTGACAGTAATTCTCAATGGTTCTGTGCTTGTGTTTCTTTTGCTCCCGGGCAGCTTGCTGCTTCTCCCTCATCTCCTCAACCCTCTTCTTCTTTAATGCCACCTCTCAGCTGGCGTGATCATTGCAGTGAACAAAACGGGAAGTGGAGGACACTCTGGAGGTTGTTTTCTTCCCATTTTGCTTTGCGGGTTTGTCTAAATTTCATGATGATCAACCAGCTTGGAAACAGGTAGATTCAAATCTGCCCACTTTCTTCCTACACTTCCAGCATAGACCAGGGAGGACAAGGTAGGGTGGTGTCACACGGCTGACCAGGTTCAAAATTTTAATGCTATCTTATTGTTCATTATATTATGAGAACTTGATTGTAGGCTGAATTCTTGTTTTTCTTGTGGTTGTTTTTAAAATCCAAGACCTAAGATATTGCTTCAAGAGTGTGAGTTTGAATTGGTCAAGTAATGTCTGTGGCTCATCCACATGGCTGACACTGACAAAGTGCGGTACAGGGTTTCAGGATAAATCCTGAGGGGACTTGACTGACCTTATCAGATACAAAAGTTACATTTCTTGTTATATAGGTCTTTATTTTAGTCTGAATCATCCAGCAGAAAGGTATAAAAACAAAATAAAAGGGGTGAATCCATGTTGGTATGCTGGACTGTAAAGGGCTCAGGTCAACAACTTGTGACATTGCCAGTCCTGTGGATGACCCACTACTATTATGGACTCCTGGACTATATTGGAATATTTTGCTGAATTCATGCACCTACAATATTTAAATGACAATGCAATACCCATCTCTGACAAAGCTAAGCAAAAAAAGGGGATACAAATGAATGATCCTTTTGTATGTGTATATTCAAAATAGGATAGATATACAGCTACATTCTCTAATTCAATGAATAAGATTTGTTTTAATAGTTTTTGTGGACAGGATGCATCTTGTACAATGAATAAGCACTTGGACAACAATGTGCAATGTAGTTATTATTGAAACTGTCCTACTGATTGGCTTTGAAACTGTCTCATTACTATTTGTTTCTCAATAAAATTATTTTTAAAAAGTGAGTTTGAAACTAAATGCATCCTTGTAAGCCCAGATACTCAGAGGCTGAAGCAGAATGATTTCCTGAAGCCAAGAATTTCATGCCAGCCTCAGTTCAGTGAGAGGTAATCTTTTTTTTTGTTTTTTGTTTTTTGTTTTTTTTTGAATTGGGGATTGAACTCAGGCTCTTGAACTTACCAGGGAAGCGCTTATTCTACTGAGCCTGTGCCATCTCCCCAGCCCCTAGTCAGAGGTAATCTAAAATAAGGAAAAAAATAATCATAGAATGTTTCATAATGCAATTCTTTGCAGCTTTGATTGAATGCAGTAAATATTGATTATAACCAAATAAAAGCAAATGTACTAAAAGAAATATTTTAGTATTTATTTCAAATGTCTGTCTTGTTTCTAGAGGAAGAACTTTTAGGAAAGAATCTTTGCAATAGGAAGGAAAAACTGGGACGAGGAAAGGGATACAAGAAAGAAGGGAAAAAGATATAGTCACATATATGCAGGATAGTTTGGATAATTGTACTGCTGGAATGGAAAAAGTTAACAGAGCACACTACCTTGATGCTTGATCAAGTTGGTATTCAATGTGATGGCAGCTGGCTTTCATAATAACTCTGTGAAAGAATTAGAGAAATTGAATGTCCAGTGTCATACAACTAAGAAATAATAGAGCTAAATCTAGCTTCAAAATATATGACCTTTTCTGAATCTTAGCCTCTATAAAATTGACTTTTTTTTTTTTTTTTGGTGGAACCGGGGATTGAACTCAGACCCTTGCACATGCTAGGTAAGTGCTTATTCTACTGAGCCATCTTGCTGGCCCAACCTCTATAAAATTGAAAAAATATATTAAAAAGATATTTGAACAAATAAGGTTGGTTATTGCTCTACTGGTTATTGCTATGTCCTTTAAACATGTTCTCTGTGAGCTGGATGTGGTAGTGCACACCTGTAATCTCATCACTCTGGGAGGAAAGGGTAGGAGAATCACAAGTTTGAGACCGATTTAGGCACTTACTGACTTAATGAGACCCTATCTCAAAAAATTATATAAAGGGCTGGGAATATGGCTCAGGAGATAGGCCCTGGATTCAATATATAGTACCACATGTGAAAAAATCTTTATGTATTATTTATTAAATTTGTAGAGTCAGGGTTAAATTAACTAGTATACCCTCATTTGGCACACTAATTTAATATATATAAATGTATGCATTTGTATGTATTATATAAAAACACATGTGCGTTGTATTATGTATATTACATAATATAGATTATTGTACAGTATTGCATATATAATGCATGTTACATATAATGTTTATTCTGTTATACATACATTATACATTTATGATTTTGATTATTATTTTTTATTTTAGGGAAAGCTCTACAAAATGTTCAGGGTCTCACTACTAGATCAGACTCGTAGTCATTCTCCTGTTTGCAGCCTCCCAAGATCTGCGATTAAGGCACGTGCCACCATGCCCAGGCTCAATTGCCATCTCAGCATGCCGTGGGGGCCGTGCCAGCACAGCAGGCCTGAGGATCGAACCTCAGCCCCTGCACCTACTTGCTACATTTATGATTATATACATACAAGGGTAAAAGTTGTTTTGACAAATGAGAAGCTTCAGAGAACTCACTGAAAGAAAAAAATTTCACATTTGCTTAACCAGAGAATACCTCCTTAAACATTACAAAGGCACTATTCCCCTCACAGACAGAGGGGCCTTGAAAGAGCTATGGATTTTTCCTTTCATCTACCACACACTTTTTTTTTTAAAGACAGTGACACATATTCTTTCTTTATGACCTCCAGGTCCACAAACATGCTTATTTATTTTTGGGGAAAACTGAGTCTTTCTTTTCTTCAAGTTGGTAAAAATGTTATTTCTTGTGTTTTGCCATTGAATTTCCTGGTTTTGGAGTGATTTCATCTGGCAGGTTTGTAGTTAAACATTTTGTGCATGCTAAATATGCCTCATATTTATTGCAATTCTTACTTCTGGAGTCATTATTATATTGCTTGATTAGTATTTTCTCCATAATCAGGCATAAAAGAAATTTTTATGGTGCAAGTGGTGGTGTGAGGTTGTAGTACAATTTCATCAATGCACAATCCTGCTTTCTATTTTTTCCTTCTTTTTTTGGGGTGGCAGGGTCTTTGTGCAGTTGGGACTGGCTTTGGGATCTTTATGTAGCTCAGGTAGACCTTGAATTTATGGTGATCCTTCTACCTCAGTCTGAGTGCTGTGATTATGGGTGTACACCTGAACTTATTTTTTTAAAGAAAATGAAATATCAATATAGGTTTCTGACTTAATTAGTTTTGAAATAAAATGCAATGACACAAAGAATCACTAGCAAATCTAAGAAAAAAGTACTCTGTCTATATCTGTTTAGGATGAGAGTCCCCAAAATTTTGTGGTGTTACTGACATGACACCTTTTAGCCACATTCTTTAAGTGTAGACATCAGTGCATGTGGTATATTGGTCTGTTGGGGTTACTGGGTACATTTAGATACTGAGAAACCTGAGTTTAAAAGCTGGAGACAAAGGCAGAATTATAATCCTGCAACCCTATTTTTGAAACTTTGCCATGAACACATCAAACATTTTCAGGTATCCCAGAATTATAAAATTTCAATTTGGAAAGTTTCAGAAATCATCTAATTCAATTTCTTCATTTTGTAGGAAATAGGACTTGGAGTTAAAGAAAGGCATGTGGTTTTCCCAAAGCAAATGAGAATTTAGGTAAAGCATGTTTTTCTACACACGTGTTCTGGACAGTTGCCCTAAGATCTAGCCCATGGCCCCTGAGATGTTGTTTCCTAAAGTCATAGCTGGATAAAATAAACAGTTATGAGGTCAAAAGTTTTAGTGTAACCCCTAACCCCCAAACAGAGAAAGTTGTTATAAAAGAGCAAGTCTTAGCCAGGTATGATGGCTCACACCTATAATTCTAGAATTCTGGGAGGCTGAGAAGGGAGGATTGAAGTTTTGGGCTCAACCAGGGCAATTTAGAAATTTAGTGAACCTCTGTTTTAAATTTTAAAATTTTTAGAAAGAGCTGGTGATGTAACTTAGTGTGAATGTCTGGATTCAATCTCTAGTACTGTGAAAATAGTAAGTCTTGAAATCCAAATAAAGATTTTAGTTAATAATAATAATGTACAAAATTGGTTCATAATTTGTGACAAATGTGCAAATTATGCATAAGATATTAGTAGTGAAATTTAGCCTAGGAGGGATGGACCAAACTTGTAATCCCAGCACTCATGAGGTTTAGGCAGGCACATTCCTGTAAGTTTATGCCCAGCCTGGCCAGCCTGAACTACATAGGGAGGTCTTGTCTCAATAAACCAAGAAAAAAATAAAAAGAAAGAGAAGCTTGACCGAGATGGAAGGAAACTTTCTGCGTTCTCTAAACAACTTTTCCATAGATCTAAATCTATTCCAATTTTTAAAACTCAATTTAGAAATGTATGTCTTGGTGCAGTGTCTCTATATCTACGGACTCTGTGTCTATGCATTTGACCAACTACAGAATGAGAATACTCAGAAAACATCACTTCTGTCCTGAACATATGCAGGATTACCACCTTAATCACTAAAGTAAAACAACTATCTAACATTCACAGAGTGTCAGGATTTAAGTAATCTGGAAATGATATACAGTACATGATAGGATATGTGGAGGTGTGCAAATCCTTTGCCATATCATGTGAAGGTCTACAGCATACATGGGCTTCAGGACCTGAAGGGATACTAGCACCAATTTGCCTCAGATACTGAGGGTGACTGCATTTCACTGATGTGGAAATGTGAATCTCTATATCACTGTTAGTGTTTCTGAGGAACCCATTTAGAAAGTGACCATATTCTATTCATTTTCCTTCCACTCATGCAGCCACAAGTGTTCCAAGCAATACTGTGGAAGATAATTTTAAAATATAAACTACTCCAACAGAATGAACACTGTGCCGATAAAAATATTTTCTTTATCCTTAAAGCACAGAATTTGAAATAGACTGAGTTCTATTTCCTCCTGAAATAGTTATTTGCTTGCAGAAGTTTCCTTGGTATGAATTCTGGTATCTGATTTTTAGACAATAAGAGCTAAAGTATTTTATTTTCAATTTCCCT